AAAAAAATTGAGTTTTATCTGAATTAAAGTTCACCAACCACTGTGAGCCCCATGCTGTAGCAGAAGTGACATCCTTTTCAAGTTCAAATGCCCCCTGCAAGCAATCAGAGGGAGTTGGCTTCTTATCGTGACAAGAATAAATGGTAGTATCATCTGCAAACAATTAGAACCACCTTAGATGTGAGAATATCTGGAAGATCGTTAATATAAATTAAAAAAAGTATAGGGCCAAGGATTGAACCTTGGGGAACCCCTGAGATTACAGAATAAGAAGAATATTTTAAAAATAGGGATAACAGATGCTGCTTTCCAGCAGGCTGGAAAACAAGACTCTGATAAGCACTTGTTAAATAGTTTCGAAAGGATAGACGACAGCTCCGGAGAACACTTCTGCAAGACTATAACAGGTATGTTGTCCGGGCCGCAAGCTGTAGAAGAGTCTAAGCGGGAAATCACTTTAGATACAGAAGCTGGAGTGATACGAATGTCGAGCAATGGATCAATCTTATACTATTAAAGATTCTCCAAAACCTGATACTATTAAAGATTCTCCAGAAGTCACGAGAGCCTAATTTTTGTGATGAAATACGAGATTTCATGATCTGAGAATAGCAGGTTTTGGCGTTAGACAAAACTTTTTACAATGGTTCCTAGCAGTAATAAACAGACGTCTGTTTTCTGGAGAATTGTTTTGCTGATAGATATGGAAGTAATGGTTTTGATTGGCAATTGCAGCAGCGCAATGTGAGTAAAACCATGGAGAAGAATGAGGCTTGACCTGGAATTGTCGAGAGGGAATAAAGGATGCCATGCCAGCCTGAATCTACGAAGTTATGTAAGAAGTACATTTGTCAACAAGGAGACGAAAGATTTCTACCCAGGGGCCATCACGAAGAAAATCACAGAAAAGAGTCCCAGTCAGCTTTAAGGTAGTTGTAAGATGTACAATGATAGGGGGATTCTGATGGTAAAGAAGAATGAGATAATAGTTTTAGAGAGACCAAACCATGATCAGATGCACCTAAGGGTGAGTGTGAAGAAACTGAGCACTGACTAGGATCAGAAATAAGACATAAGTCGAGTAGAGAAGATAAATGATTCGGGTTGTCTGGAAAGCGAGTTGGAAAATTGACTATTTGAGTTACGGATTGAGAAAGACATAAGTTGTGGGCCTTAATGTCTGCAGAGTCACTGACACTAGAGCCAAGCCATTCAGTGTGATGAACATTAAAGTCACCGACAACAACAATATTGGCTGATGGACAAAGAATGAGGGCTTGGTCAACATAATCAGAAATAACATCAAGAAGAGTGCAGTCTTGAGATAAGGGAGAGCGATATAGAACAAAGAGAAAGGTGATAGAGTGAAGTGGTGCTAAACGAAAGCACATAAATGAGTAGTCTGTGGATTCAAACCTAGTTTCCTGACAAATGGGTGATTTCTTACGAATGTAAATGCCCAGGCCAAGCATGTGACTATTGGAGTCTTTACGAATTAAAGGAAGATAACCATCAACACTAAGATCACAAGATGAGACAGCTGAACTCAAATTAGTCTCACAAAGAGCAAGTACTTTGAACTTTGCAAGAGATAAGACTCAAAAGAAGAAAAGTTACTTCGAAGACCACAAATATTGGTGAATGATAGGTTTAGCGAACTTGGTGATGACTGTGGTTTTTTGTGTTTTATAGTTTTTGTTGCTTTATTCATTTTGTTGCTTTATTCAATTTGTTAAAGAACTTGACTCGAAACATAGATAGTACTCAGTACACTGTTTTATAGCTCAAGCAATTGCCTCATTTCCACTAATTAACCCTAAGCCGTAACAAAGGGCTCCAATGTGGCCTTGGCAATGCACACCAAAAGTACAAACAGGGACACCATCCATGCGCAACATAGCACTGTTAGTACTCTGATATTTTTCAGCTGTTGATGGAATCAGCCTCTCTGAGAGCTACCACAGAGTTCGGGAAACCTGACTACCAGCCGGCCTCAGAACCATAAAACTGAGTTTTAGAGCTGTACCCTCATTTGGAGATAATAGAATGAGTTGCCTAGTCATAAAAACAGAGACACAAGCAAAACCCATTATTTGAGTCAAGAAGATCCAGCGTTCAACATCCTAAACTGGAAACAATGTATTAAAAATACATCTGCGCCAGACTAATAGATGAATATATCCAATGCCTTTCCAAATCAAATGATTTTGTTTAAATTTTTTTTTCTAAATGGAGAATAAAGGTGTGGACAGTATTTTGGGTTTGCTCAAATTAATAACAATAACATATTGCAATACAATAACATATTGTAAATTATTCTTTCACTGAAATAGTCACAGCACTTATGCTATATTTGACATTTCCTGTTAGTGTGGCAACTGCAGAAAGATGTTTAATCACATTAAAAATAATAAAAATGCATTTAAGAAAAAAAATGGCACAAGACCATTTGTCTGCACCAAGTCTGTTAGCTATTGAAGCAGAAGAAGCACCTCAATTAGATTAAAAATATGTAATAAACCAATTTGCAACTATGAAGGCACAAAAAAAAACAATTTCATTGAACTTCTACATAGAATACTAAGATACTATAACGAACTGGTTTCTGTCATTAATATATTATTAATTTGTGTTTATGTATAATTTTTTTGTCTAGAAGGAGGGTAAAGGCGGTGGGAATGACAGGTAAGTAATTTAGGTGCCCAGATTTAAAATATTTGCGAGTTAAGGAGGAGGGGGGGGGATTTTTTGTTGCTACGCTACTGCTAACACGCATTGAACTTTATTAAAGTATTTTATAAGTTACTAATTTACTCTTTTTTTTAACAAAATAATTTACTAGTATAAACTAAGTGTAAAGTTTTGGTTGGTCCTAGAAGTTTAAAAAAAAAGTTTGTATTAGGCAATAATATATATAACATATATATAAGTATGTTAGTATATATAACATATATATGTATATATATCATATATACAGTATTGGACAAAACAAGTGCAACCAAATAATGCTAATTTAGTTTCTTTATATAAAAGTGATGCATTTTTTCAATCAAGAAAAATAACTATGTAACTGTTTAGAGACAACGTTCTTCAAGTTTTATTCATAACAAAATTCATTATTTGTACACAAAAAACTAATAAATTAATCAAAAGTATTAGATTCCCTTCTAGACAAAACAAGTGCAACTCCACAAAATGTTGACCAAGCTGTATTTTGCTATCAATATTTCATGGCGAATCCTTTTTTGTTGATCACAGCCTTGCATCTTCGAGGCATAGATTTGATCAGGTGATCAATGAAACTTTGTGGAATTGCTGCCCAGGCCTTTTGGATTTGTTCAAACAGTTGATCCTTATTACGAACTCTTCACGATTAGTTCTGCAGTTGACGATCTCCCACAGGTTCTCGATAGGGTTGAGATCCGGAGATTGAGGTGGCCATTCAATCAACGATAGGTGGTTGTCTTGAAACCACTGCTTGACTACTTTTGCAGAGTGTTTCGGATCGTTGTCTTGCTGAAAAACCCATTTTATTGGCATATTCCATTCAGCATGAGGTAACATAACATCACTCAGGATATTTTTATACATGAAACGGTCCATTATTCCATCGATTAGATGTATTGGACCTAGATTGTTAACAGAAAAATACCACCAGACCATTACATCGCCTCCACCATGCTTCATGGCCTTATGGCAGTAACGTAAATTGAGGCGTTTTCCAGCCGGTCAACGTACACGGAATATGCTATCGCTCCCAATGATGTTGAACTTCGATTCATCACTGAACAGGACAGTTCGCCATTTCTTCACATTCCAGTCAATATGAGATGAAGCAAACAGGAGTCTTTTCTTCTGGTTCTTTAGTGAAATCAGCGGTTTCTTTGCAGGGCGTCGAGAAAAGAATCTGGCTTCAACAGCACGTCGTCTGATTGTTTGGTCCGATACAGGCAACTCTAATTGCTTTTGTATTTTGACTGATGATATCCAGGGATTCTTCTTGACGGATCTGACGATCATAGAATCCTCTCTGGAAGTGGTGGAATGCGGTCTTCCACCTTTGTTATCTGCTGCCAACTTCTCCATAGAACGATATTTGGAACATAGTCTTGATACTGTCCATTTTTTTACGCGATATTTATCACAAATACTTTTTTGTGACATTCCACTAACGTAATTGCCAATACTTTTTCAGTTCCAATCCAAGACTGTCAGAAGCCATTTTTGCACTTGGATGCTTCTGAATGTTTCTAGATACTTCTGGATGCTTTCAGATGCTTCTTCTGGAAACTTCTGGAAGCTTCTGTATGCTTCATGAAACTTCTGGATACTTCCTTTAATTATTAAAAAACTTCCGTGATGTTGACACGGACCAGACTTTAGAAAATGAAACAAACCAAAAAAGTTGCACTTGTTTTGTCCGCTGCAAAATGGCACTTATCAACAAAATTCAGCCTGTGTGCTGTCACCTGTCAGCTAATTGCTCATGTCATGGCATGCTATGACTCCAGACTCCTGAACTGTTTGCTGTGGTAGTATAGTTCGTTTCGTTTTTAAGACATGTAAAATTAGGAACACTTTTTAGCATTGTTTGATGTTGGTTGTAAATGTTTTGTCCAATACTGTATATATATATATATATATATATATATATATATATATATATATATATATATATATATATATATATATATATATATATATATATATATATATATATATATATATATATATATATATATATATATATATATATATATATATATATATATATATATATATATATATATATATGTATATATATATATACATATATATATATACATATATATATATATATATATATATATATATATATATATATATATATATATATATATATATATATATATATATATATATATATATATATATATTTATATTTGATAGGTAATATTTTTTTAATTTCTTATATTATTATTTATGATGAATTAAAACATTTGTTTCATATATATTTTTAGTATTTATTTTGGGGTGTGAGAGAAATCAAAACAAATAGTCTTGGAAGATTTGAAAACTTACAAGTTTGCATTCAATGTTCTGGAAACAATGTAGAGTCTGATTTAATTTCTGCTCATATAAATCTAAACTTTTCAAAAAAATCATATGGACGTTTTTGCCTGGTATATCTAATTTTTATTTTCTTTTATTAAACTGAATTTGTTATTTTATTAACTCTAAATTTATAATCCTAATCATCCTGCTGCTAGTACTGTGTACTGTGTACTGCTAGTACTGTGTTATATTTTATTATATGTGTTTGTTGCTACTGGTACTTGCACAACTTTAAATTGTGATCATTTTTTTCATTTTTAAATCAGGTTTCACTAAAATGTCTGTTTATTTATCTATTCAAATTTGGAAAGTGCTTAACTACCCAGGTAAACCTAGTAAAGTTTATTTTTTGTCATATATTTAGTTATATTCATAGTATTTTTACTTAGAAACTTAGTAACTTAGAAACAATTAGTGTCTGGTCACAAATTATACATTGACAAATTGATAATTGATGATATGTAATTCAGCAAATATAACAAACAGATTTTTAATTAATGAAAACTCACTTAAAAACAAACATCTTTATATCTTTGCAAGAAATTGATATAAAATAGTATAGTGGGTGTTGTATTTGGTTGAATATTGTGTATTTTATCTCAGAAGTTAGGTTTTAAAAACTTTTGGAAAATCTTTAACAGTGTTGTTAATAAAGACAAGTCGAACATTCTATTTCTCATACATGCATCTGGTATTATATTTATTTACTTACAAGGATGATGCAGAGGTATTTGCAAAGAATTTTCCCTTTAATTCATCTCTTAAATCTAATGACCATATTATTTCTGTCTTTTTAGAGAAACAGGTCATTTTATTGCTGTTAATCTTAATTACACCGGTTTTTGTTGCTGAAGTTATTAACTTAAATCCTTCTACAGCTTGTTTTCCAAATAACATTACACTGAGAGCAGTGGCAAAATAGTGGCCAAAATTATTTTTTGCATTTTTTACATTTTTTACACTCTAATGCTTCTTTACCCAAAGTTTCTACAGGAACAGAAGAAGTTAAAACAATTTCTCCAACATGTGGCAATATTTTAGAAACTGTTGCAGGAATTTTGAACCAGCTTACATAATTTTTTCAGATTTTTAATTGTTTCCTCACAATAAATGCTGATTTCAGATTTAAAAAGATTTAGCTACATTTTTTGTTTTATTTTAAATTGTTAGCTGCAATCATGTTGTTGCAACTGTTACCTGAATCACTATCATTGATGCAATTCATTTTCTGATGATATTTAGAGTTTCTAGAAGCTTCAATTAATCCTAAAAATAATTAATAATTTGAAAAACCCAATTTTCTTAAGTCATTTTAAAATTCATAACAAAAATATTCTAAAATTCTTTTTAAGGTTTTCAAAACATATTGCCTATAGGACTTCTGATACAAAAAGTCTATAGACTTTTTATATTCTATAGAATTTCAATGGGAAGTCTATAGAGGTTTCTATAAAATAAATACTATTTAACAACATTTTTTTCTATATGCTTTTAAAATATTTTAAAGCTTATTAAACGCCTGTAGAAATTCAACTATAAAAAGTTCATAGAATATTGTGGAATATTGTGTAGAAAGTTTCTGTAGACCATATTTTTCAAAATGTATAGAAAATATTTTTTTCGACCATTTCTGATAATCTATAAACCATCAGTTTATCAAATAAGGAAAATTTGCTAATAGAAGAAAAAATAAAAATAAAAAATGAACATATAAACTTTTAAAACAAGTGATTTTAAATATTAAATAATCAAAAAGACAATAAAATTTGCACATTCTTATAACATCTTAACATATTAACTTTCAATGCAATGTTTAATGTTATCTTGGTTTAATGTTATCTCCCACATCTTGATAAAAGTTAAAAAGACAAAAGAGTTTAATTAAATAATTAAGAAATTTAAATTCTTTGTTAGTTACCAATCAACAAGGTATTGACAAATTTTGGATTTTACTACTTTAGCAGAGTGTATTTCTTCAAGTATAGTGCTTCCAGATTTCCAGATAAATTACTACTGATCAGATAAGTTGTGTTTCCCCAAAACATTAATTAAAATGTTTGTTACATTTGCTGAGTTACATACTGTCAATATATAATTTGTGACCAGACATTAATTGTTTCTAAGTTACAAAGTAAAAATGCTATGAAAATAATTAAATATATGGCAAAAAATAGACTTTACTAGGTTTACCTGGGTAGTTGGGTACTTTCTAAACTTGAATAGATAAATAAACAGACATTTTAGTGTCAAGAAACAACCATATCAAGCTCAATTGATCTCTTATCAACTCATTATATGTTTTAAAATTCTACGAGTCTTTGGATTGCATACACTCATTTTTTAAGCATTCTCTAGATGGCACTGCACACAGTAGATTTTTGTCTAATGCATCAGTATGTTGGTATTACAAAAAAAAAGCTTGGACTGGTCTTATAGCTTTAAATAATCATTTCAGGATACTTATTTAGTAGAATTTCTATATTTACGTAATGGTAGACTTTGGCTAGCATTCCATTAATTCTACTGAGTTTTATTGCAAAGTCATTCAGATGGCCTTGAAAAGAAAGATTAGAATCAATTTTTTAATAGAGTTTAAAGGATAAATTTTTTGTCCGCTTAGTCTGAAATAAAAGTGCTTATTTTTAATTATTAATTTAAGTGCTTAATAATTGGTACCAGATAGGATTTAAAGATGATCAGCCCTGTTTTGTTAGAATTGAGAGAAAGTTTATTAGAACGAAGCCACTGAACAAGATTTCCAAGATCATGGTTAATATATTTTTTGATTTTTTTAAGTGATTTGTCAACCAGTAGCATTTTAGTATCATCAGCAAAATGGTAAGCAGTTGCAAATTTAAAAGAAGTATATAAGTCATTAATAAAAAGTAGAAAAAGAAGTGGTCCTAAAACTGAACTTTGTGGGACGTCATTTGAGCAATTCTATATATCAGATTTAATGCCATTAATGGAAACAAACTGTGTTTTATTTTGGAGATATGAAGTAAACCGTTTTAGTGGGATGTCTCTGATTCCATTGATTTTTAGTCAAAGTTTTAAAAGATAGCACATTGGTCTAAAATCCTATTAAACAATTTTAAAAATTGATTGATGGATTCATTAATATTATCATCTTTTTTAATCATAAGCTCCCAGTTGATTTTAGAAAAATTTGTAGAATAAATATGTTAGGGTCAAATTTATTTAGACATTGTTTGAAAGTTTTAACTTTATTTGGTTAGTTGGATGTGCTAGGAGCAGACAAATTGTGTTATGTGATGTGAGATAGAAATAGTGTTATTACCTGAGATATGATCAGAAGAGTAGAAGTTCATAAAGATATTATCAATGAGTGTTTCAGATTTAGCTGTTATACGAGTAGGTAGGATTATGGAAAGATTAAACGAGTAAGACCATAAGTTATCAAGGTAGTTGGAAATAGGATTATCTTCACTAAAGCTCAGTAGATCTGCATTGAAATTACCCATTAAAAAGATCAGTTTTTGTTCTTTGCTTAACTTTTCAAGAAGTAGAGTTAAAAATATATTGAATTCTTTTTGATTCATTGATGGATGACAATATATACAAACAATTATGACATTTGTTTTGTGGGGTTTCAACAAAAATAGTAATTTCGGTAAGCAAATCTTTAAATCATTATGAAATTCCGAGTTCGATCCCCACCACGTCCCTGGTAGTACTGCGCTCAACTCGTTTCTCCGCGCAGCGACCTTGTTTATCAAGGTTCGTGTTTCGGAGTTATAGAGTTGAGAGAGGGTTATAACCACAAATAAGTAGCCTCCTTGTCTGTAGTGGCCTTCTCGGCCTTGAGGAGGTGAATTAAAATTAAAAAAAAAAAAAACTACATAGTTTAACATAATTTACATAAATTAGACTGCAGATATAAAAGAGCACCACCTTTTTTGGCCTCATGTTCAATATTGAATCCATTAATAGTTATATTTGTTATATTGGTATCGTTAAAGTATAAGTTGGATTCAGTAATCCCTATTGCCATAGGTATGATATTTAATGTGCTGATAAGACTGCACAGGTTATCAATCGGATAGGGAAGTCATGCAATGTTAAGGTGAAGATATAGATCTGAATTAAGCTTGATAGCATTATTAAAGTCAATAACATCATAGAATTTACAATTTATAGCAGAACCTTGATTGTATTAAGTTCTTTAAAAATGTTTCTAGAATGAATTTAGAGATACAAGAAAATTTGATGACAGAGCATGATAATGTTGTTAAGAGCTCATTATCAGTAAGCAAACCAAATGGCATATTTTTATTTACACAGCTGAAATACAGATATTTAAGTATGTTTCTTGAATGAATTGCAGATACAAGAAAATTTGATGATACAGTTTGTAAATTTTTGCATAATAATGTTGTTAAGAGCTCATTATCAGTAAGCAGACCAAATAGCATGTTTTTAGATATAGAGTTGAAACAATACCATTCTGAAGAGTCTTCAGTGAAAGAATCTATTTGGTAGCACTTAGCATGAACCCATAAACTGCAGTAGTCACAAAAAATGGCTTTGTGGTTATCTGTTAAAGTTTTAATACAAAAGATACAGAGTGTTTTACTTTATAGACAGAGTATTATTATAATGTTTTATTATTAAAACAACTTAAGTGTGATTAAGAAAATAACGAATAAGATGAGATTATAATAAGAAAGTAGTTATGAGGCAAAATGGAACAATATATATATCACAGTACAGGTAGGTTATACAAAATTAAGTAGATAGTGTGGAAGAAATTAAGTAGATGTTGACAACTAACAAAAACACTAACAAGCTAATATAATATGGAAACAATAAACTTGGGAGGAATGTTAAAGTACTCACAAATAAAAGAATAAATAAAAATAAATGTAGAAATAGTAAGTAAAGTTCAAATGATAAAAAATGGTAGTAATGTCAATATATAATAAATAACATAAATTGAAAGATTTAGTTATATAACATTTATATAATCAGTAATATAAGCTATAGATAGTTATATAGGTATATAGTAATATATATGGTGGGTCACTTTTAAAAAATTTTTGAATTT